AGCTGGAACTACAGGTGCACACTACCACGCCCAGCTAATTTTTGATTTATTGTAGAGATGAGGTCTCACCAAGTTGCCTGGGTGGGTCTCGAACTTGCGGGCTCAGGCAATCCACTCACCTTGGCCTCCCAAAGCGCTGGGATTACGGGCTGAGCTACCTGGTGAGTTTTTAGAGATTTTAAAGTCAATTGGTAGAAGTTTCAACCCCTAAGGTAATAGCTTGTCCCACTCAGGCCTCACAGCTTCCACCATGACTCTCATTTCCAATGAATGGCTGCAGAGACTGGCAGTCTCCCTGTAGCTGTGGACCCAGGCCAATCAGTCTGCCCCAGCCTGCCCTCTTACCTCCTTTCCTGCCCACTCTGTTGCCCAGGCTGGGCCCTGTCCCCAGCATTCACTGTCTTCTCTTCTGTGGATTGCCCTGGCCATGACCCTACCCTGTCTTGCTCCATACGCCTAAAACGGTTCACCCTCTCCCCGCTCCTTGGCAAGGACATTCTGGCTATTCCATACCACTTCCAAAAACAATACTGCAATTCTACCTCTTGCCCTGGCATGAAAGTGGAGATAGCTATTCACTCCCTAAATCCCAAAGGCTTGGACTGTCCTGAAGGTCCCAACCCCACCCCCCCGCAGGTTGAGGTTATGGTGGCTGTGAGAGTGCCACTGCACTCCAACCTGGATGACAGAGTGAGACTCCAATTAAAAAAAAAAAAAAGAAATACAGTAGTCTCTACTGACTACTACTTTTTAAAATCTTCTCACATAGCACTGACCCATCACACACTGGGGCAGGAGTACTTAACACCAGTCACTGGCAGGGCCAAGCTTTCTGCCCCTGTCTGGGGACCAGAAGGTCCTGGGAAGTAGGGGCTAGGGTTTCCAGAATGCTGAAGTGCAGTCCCTGCTAAGTCAAGTGTCAGCTGCCTCTTCTCTCTCCTCTGGCCCTATCTGTAAACCCTGCCCCCGCTAGCATCAGTTTTCCCTCTCACGCCCTCTGAGGACAACCTGGGACAGCTCCCAGAGTCTCATCAGGTAGCAGGAGTTGCCGCTCCTGAGAAGTAACAGCTAGATTTATTCCTGCCTCCCTAACACTTCTATTTGAAAGCTGCTCCCACTGCCACTGGGGCCAGCATAACCTGACTTCCTAGACCTTCTGGGACCCCATTTCCACCTCACCTGGTGTCATAGTCGCTGGAGTGCCTGTCAAACTTGTAGGTGGGTGCGAAGAGCAGGGAACCCTCCTGGAACTCTCGGAGTAGCGGGTCATGTCTCTTGGCAATGCTGAGCTGTAGATAAAGGCAAAGTCTCCATCTCCCAGTAGTCCTGACCCAAGGGCCCAGCACCAGACTCCATTCAAGGGACCAGCACACGCCATCACAAGTGGAGCAAGAGTCAACAGTGCTCTTCCACTTCCTCACTTCCCTGTGGTTGCCTCAGTAGCCCGCCCCCAACCCCAGGAGACAGCTGAATCCTTTTGGAAACATTATCCCCAAAGGCCCAGGGGAGGCAGCTGCGTGCCATTTCCCACTCCTTAGACCACAGGAACCAGGCTTTGAATTCCATCTCTAGGGAGGGTCACTAGCAGATATGTGTCAGAAGGAAATCTGGGTATCCAGGGACTTCCAAAGGGGTAGTATCCCATCCTCCAGGAGGCAAACAAGGCAAGGGATACAAGTGGGTTGATTCATGGTGATGGCCATAGTAGGCCAAAACCCTTCTGGCTCCCAATTATAAAGCACATCACGGCTATATCCTAGCTCCTCCATGAAAAGATCAGGCACTGGAAGGAGTTGTTGCCTCATCCCCAGGTGCTGTTAGCACCCTCTTCAGCTCACTCTTACCTCCACCCTCTCCTCCTCTGGAAAAGGAGAATAGCTGCCAGGAAACCTCAGCAATGCTCAGCAAACTTCACATGGATTGCCACTCTGGGCTCAGATCACCCCTCAGGGCCCCCCACGCTTTATACCTGATCCTTCTCCCACAGGTCACCGTAGCGCCGCTTTTTTATGGATTCCCGAACAAAGTGCAACCCAAAGTCCTCGATCCGAAAGTTCATGTCTCCGAACCAGAGAATGAGGCTTCAGGAAGAAAGGAGGGCAGCCTGAGGATTTGTGATGGAATCAGAGAAAGGGAGAGCAACAGTGGCTCAGGCCTACTCAATCCAAGGGCTGCTGAAGAGTGGAAAGCTCAAGGGGGGAGGGAAAAAGCCAGTGCTGGGAGAGGATGAGGTAAAGACAAAGGCACACATGAGTCCGATGGAACTGTTCTCATGGCTCCTAAACCACCACTCAAGCCAAAGAGACCAGCACAGAGGAGCAAATGCCAAACAGAGCAGGCTCTAGCCTTCCCTTTCTCTCCCTCAATGGGTCAGCAGGAAAGGTTGGGAAACAGCTATTGTGGTGACCTCAGGAACCACAGGGTTCTTGACCTGTTGGGAAGTGTTCAGGGTTTCTAGGCAGGACAGAAGGACTGGAGGAAGGGGACCCCAGGTAGGGAAAGCTGAGGGGAGACAGCAGATGGGGCATTAGAGAAGGGGCTGGGAGGAGGTGGGAGACAGAGCACTGACTGACTCTAGCCAAGAAGCAATGCCTGGGCAGAGGGTGCTAGCCTGGGCTGGCATGGGGGAGAAGGCAGGGATAACAATGTACAGATCCAGGCTTACTCATGGTCCAGGATGTTGGGGATATCTTGTCCCTCAAAATTCTGCATCTCCAGAATCCGGTCAAAGTGCTCCAGCCGTTGGTCATTGTTGGACATGTGCGGAGGCAGGTGGCAGTTGATAATGCTGACATAGTAGCCATAAAGCTTCATACAGATGTTGACTCCCCCTTTATTCCCCTGGTAGAACAAGCGCATAGAAGAATGGGAAGCGACTCTGAATTGGACACACCTCTCTTTTCACATCCTAGGCCTGAGAGGAGACAGTCCCGCCTCCCCCAGGGTCTCCCAGGGACAGAAACCCAACTTCCCAGGGTGATCTCTCCATGCAAAGCATTCAGCGCACCTAGCTTAGGTCTCAGGGATACCAAGCCCCTGAGGCAAAGTGATGAGTGTGCAGGGCACTGGGCTAGACAAATTGCCAAGGTTCATTTCACTTCCTTTCTTTTGCCCAGCTCTAAAGTTTCTAGCTCTTCCCAGCTCATGACTCAGACAACAGCTCAGTCCTTACCCAGAACCCGAAGAGGCCAGTGGGGGTGGATTTTGTAGAGAGAATCTGGATATAGGGCAAATGCTGATACTTGGCAAAGACCAGTAAGAGGATCCCCTGCATGCGGACATGGGAGACCTGAAGAAAGTGAAGGCAAAGGTCATTCATTAAACTGCACAGGCCAAGTTCATCCCTGCCAGGCCCTGTGCTAGGCAGAGAGAGGGTCCTCAACCCTGGGCAGCAGACTAGTACCAGTCAGTGGCCCATCAGGAACCGGGTCACACAACAGGAGGTGAGCAGTGGGCGAGCAGAGTTCTGCCTCCTGTCAGATCAGCAGTGGCATTAGATGTTCATAGGAGCATGAGCCCTATTGTGAACTGCCCATGTGAGGGATCCAGGTTGTGTACTCCTTATAAGACTCTAATGCCTGATGATTTCCCCCCAAACCTGGTCCATGGAAAAACTGTCTTCCATGAAACCATTCCCTGATGCCAAAAAGTTGGGGACCACTGCTCTAGAGAGCCCTGAGCCACATGCAGTGCCCTGACCCAGGGTCTATGATATCCCAGTTTGAGTCTCAGAATTTCACTTCTTTCCTTTCTTCCCTTCAGCTGTCAAAGGATACATTCTGGGAACTGGGCCTGGGGATGGAGGGGAGAGATGATGAGGCTGCCAGGGCACCCTGCCATTAGGAGGATACGGACTTTTTGGTCCCAGTTCTAAGCATGCCTAGGTGCTCTCTAACCAATGCTATCCTGTGATCCTCTGGGTACTCTTAGGCTGCAACCTTCGCTGGCTAGGGCCTCAAAAAGCAATGTGCCTTTATAGGACAGTGGCTAAGGATACTGGTTTTGAAGTCACCCAGATCTAGGTTCACATCCTGGCTCCAATTATTAGTATTTGATATTGGACAAGTTTTTCAGTGTATTTTCTCACTGACAAAGCAGGAACAGGAATAATACTATCTCATAGATGCTGTGAGAATTATCTGACAGTGATTATATTTTAGTTTAAGGATTCTTTTTTTGGGGGGGTAGGAATTTCATTCTCATCCAGGCTAGAGTACAGTGGCACACTGCTTACGGCCACCACAGCCTCAACCTGCTGGGCTCAGGAGATCCTTCTGCCTCAGCCTTCCAACTACCTGGAACCACAGGTGCACACCATCACGCCCAGCTAATTTTTTGATTTATTGTGGAGACGAGGACTCACCAAGTTGCCCAGGCTTGTCTTGAACCCCCTGAACTCAGGCTATCCTCTTGCTTCTGCCTCCTAAAGTACTGGAATTACAGGAGTTAGCCACTGATCTTGGCAGTTTAAAGATTCTTAAAAGTAAATGCAGAAGTGTGCTACTGCACTCCAGCCTGGCTGACAGAGACTCCGACTCAAAAAAAAAAAAGTAGGCCAGGTACGGTGACTCAAGTCTGTAATTCCAGCACTTTGGAAGGCTGAGGCCAGAGGACTGCCTAAGCCCAGGGGATCAAGACCAGTCGGGAAACTTGGTGAGACCTCGTCTCTACAATATATCAAAAAATTATCCGGGCATGGTAGCGTGTGCCTGTAGTTCTGGCTACTTGGAAGGCTGAGGCAGAAGGATGGCCTGAGCCTAGCAGGTTGACGCTGGGGTGGCTGTGAGTGTGCCACTGCACTCCAACCTGGGTGACAGAGTGAGACTATGACTCAAAAAAAAAAAAAAAAAGTAAATGCAGAGAAAGAACATGAGAGGTTTCTAGGGTATCTTGACTTGGCTGATGGTAATATGGGTGCGTAAACTTCCATCAAACTGTACACTTAATTTCTGCCTACATTTCAGGATGTTATAACACAATGAAAAACATTAAGAAAATATTCTCCCCCCAAAGCAAAACAAAACAAAACAAACTGTAGACTGTGTGCAGCTGGATGTCCATGAAGGCAATGTATAGGGAACAACAGTGAGTATGGAGGATACCGGCTCACAGGTTGGTGGGGGAATAGCTAATATCTACTGAAGTGCTTCCTATCTCATTCACTCTTCATGCCAACCTCATAAGGAATCACTGTCCCTGTTTTACAGACAAGGGACTGAGATTCAAGGAGGCTAAGGAACTAGCAGGTTATCTGCCTAACTTCATAAAAGGATGGGGACTGCCCAAATCCCTACTATCTGCAGCTGCAAAGGGTGCAGTGGGAATGGACCATATCCAGTGACCCTCCCTCTCAAGTTCAAGCTGTCTACACCCAGCACCCAAGTAGCTGTTTCCGGAGAATGAGGTCTAGAGGCCAAGGAGGAAATCCCCGGGTGGGGAGCATGTACTGGGGCCTTCCAGGAATTATGAAACTCAATCCCACAGGCCAGGAGGCCTAGCATAGTGGAGGAGTCAAAGCAGGGGGAACCCCAAACCCAGGACTGAGAAAGGGAGGCGTTAGAGCTTGAGGTTGGCCAGAGGTTACTACAAATGTGTCTTTCACCCCACCCTCCACCCTCAGTCTTCTCTCTCCCATTTACAAAAATATATAACAGAAGTAGGGGAAGGACTAGACTCCAGGGTTAGGACTGGAGCCAGGAAGCTGACAGAGCCTCAGAAATAGTTTCAAGCTTAATCCTAACCCCACAGAGCAAGTTTAAGTCACTGGGCTCCACCAAAGACATCCAAAAGACACTGGTTCACTTTGTGAAGGAACAGCAGGCAAGTAGGGAGTAGGTGGGTGGGGCTGAGGCAGGACAGTTAGACTGGGGAAAAGCAGAAGCCTTCTAGGGGACGTTTCAGCTGGAGAAATCAGGTGGGAGGAGCAGAAAGGACTAGCAGGAGGTTACTAGGAGCCCTGAAGATGTCAAAAGGGGCTTCTCAACATACACCTGGCAGATCCACACCCAAAGAATAGAGCTCACATGTCCTCCCTGATTCTAGACCGAGGGAAAGAGGTGCCAGGCCTCAGGCTGGCCTTCCAACCTCAGGAGGCCACATGGGTAGAATGGGTTGTTCTTGACACAAGCTGAGCTCACTTCCTTGGCTCAGTTCCATCCTGTCAATCCTTGCCAGTCAGCCAAGGTGCAAGGAGGTCTGTAGCCTTGGGAAGAGAGTGGGAGGTGAGAGTTCCGACCCCTGTGACCATCTCACTCCAAGTCTGCAGGAGAGGCATGTGGATTTGATTTGGAAGGAACCAAAGACTCTGGGGCGGGTATTTTGTAGCTTCATTAGGAGGACTAAACTTTGTATTCCTTTTCCCCCATTCTGCCCTCCTCTCAAAGACATACAGCTCTGGCCCCAGTACCCCCAGGCAAACTAAGGTAACAACTAATTCTGAAGAACCCAGGGAGGGGAAGAGAAGGAATTCTGATATTTCTAAGTAGCTGTGTATTAGGTGCTTTGTTTTTTGTGTTTTTTTTTTAGTTGGAGTCTCACTCTGTCGCCCAGACTGGAGTGCAGTGGCCGCTCCCGGCCACCGCAGCCTCGACCTGTTGGGCTCCGGCAATCCTTCCACCTCAGTCTTCCGAGTAGTTGGAACTACAGGTGCGCGCTATCACGCCTGGCTCATTTTGATTTATTGTAGAGATGAGGTCTCGCCAATTTGCCCAGGCGGGTCTCGAACCCGCGGTCTCAGGCAATCCACTCACCTCAGCCTCCTGAAGGCACGGGATTACAGGTTGAGCCACCGAGCCCGGCTCATTAGGTGCTTTGAATGGGAGTATGTGTCATCCTCCAGGTGTGCAAGGCACAAACACCTAGAGTCTTCCTGTGGATTTCTCAAAGTATGCTGGGGTCTCGGACTAAACTTTTACCCATCATATTTACCCTTTGCTAACCTCTGGGCCCCTAGAATTTGTGGTGTATGTCTCTTGCGATATGAGGACACCCTATGATACCAGCAGGCTAGTCATGGGATACCTGTCAGTCTTAGAGCTCACCAGCATAGCAATAAACTACAGAAGTTAAGAACCTGGGTGGCCGGGCTCAGTGGCTCAACCTATAAACCCAGCACTTTGGTAGGCCAAGGAGAGCGGATTACCTGAGCCAGTGGTTCAAGACCAGCCCGGGCAACTTGGCGAGATCTCGTCTCTACAATAAATCAAAATCAGCCGACGCGGTAGTGCGCACCTATAGTTCTGGCTACTTGGAAGACTGAGGTGGAAGGATCACCGGAGCCCAACAGGTTGACGCTGGGGTGGCTGTGAGCGTGTCACTGCCCTCCAGCCTGGGCGGAGTAAGACTCCAACTCAAAAAAAAAACAACAAGAACGTGGGTTATGAAGTTTGAAAGACTAGAATCCAAGTTCCAGATAGCATGTGTGACTTCTATACTTTGGTTTTATCTGTAAAACACCCCTATTTTAAGAGTTATTAAGATTTTAAAATTATATATATAAAGAGCTATTTAGTCTCATTCTGTTGCCCAGGCTGGTAGCCTCAACCTGCTGGGTTCAGGTGATCCTTCCGCTTCAACCTTCCCAGTAACTGGAACTACAGGTGTGCATCACCACACCCAGCTAATTTTTGATTTACTGTAGAGATGAGATCTTGCCATGTTACCCAGGCTGATCTCGATCCCATGGGCTCAGGCAATCCTCTTGCCTCCACCTCCCAAAGTGCTGATAAAGAGATACTTATAATGTTTACTTCTAAGCAAGCACTTGATAAATGGTAGCAATCATTATTATACTTAGAGATTTCAGGCTGGGCATGTGAGCAAAGATTATCAGCTTGCCCTGATCATGAGGTATCTCAAGTTGATGAGAGGTATCTGATGCTCTGGTATACCTCTCTTCCCAGGCTGGAAAAAATCTAGGTATTTTTAACCCTTGGAGACCTAGCTCACCTCTAGCTCCTCAGAAAGGCAAAAGGGAGGCAGAAGCCCTAGAGGTTCAGGTGCAAGAGTTTTAAACTTTTCAATAAATGGGAAGCAGCATGAAAGGGTAAGTGGGAGTAAGAGGAACACATCAGACCAAACAAACTGGGGGTTAGTGGAGGTGAGACACAGTTCTCAATTGCCTATGAACTTACAAGTTACCTTGATGAAGTTCAGAGGGGAAAGCACATCCATGAAGAAACTGCTCCATGGGTCTTTAAAGGCAGCATCAGAAAGGAGGCTTATGATCCCAGAATTCATTTCCTGCAAACTGACCATCTCAGGTCAAAGGTTCGTCCCCTGGCTGGAGGGTACTTCCTCTGCCACAGACATTCAGTGTTGTCCTCAGACTTTCAAGCCCTGGGTTGTGATGACCATGATGTCTCCCTCCCCTTGCTGACCTCAAACCCCTTGCCACTGCCGGGCCAGGACAAGAAATAAGGGACAGGCCCCAATGTAGGCTGAAAGGCCCTAGCCTTCAGACTCCAGAGTGAAGGAGGACAGGTAACAGCAGTTCCCCACGGGAAAACCTGGGACTGGTGACAGGGTCCTGCAGACACCTACCCAATGACATACATGTCCAGATTCAGGTTCTGGTTGTTCAGCTGAAGCAGGTCATTGAGGTCTAAAGGGGGAGCTGCTGAGGCCACGTTCCATGTCACGACATGTATGCTGTGGAAGGGATACAAAGGGAAGTTATGGAGAAAGGAGGAAAAGACCTTGTCCAGATAGTAGACAGGGGTCTAGGCCTGCTAATCGCTGTACCACAAACCTTTGCAGTCATAATGGGAAATGAAAATTTCTGTATCTGGTGGTGGCAATAGGGACAATAACTATACGTCCTTTGCATCACTGGTGTTCCTGGAAGCAGGAAATCCTCACCTGGACTGGCTCCTCCATGAAGGCTCACTGTTGCCCATATTTGGCAGCCCTGGTGCTGCTGACACTAGTAGAGCTGCCAAAGGGAACCCAAAGGCTTTTGGGTCAGGTCAGGAAAGAAATGGGTGGCTGGATAGTCAGGAATTTATTTATTTTATTCTATTTTCCTTTTTTTCAGAAGGAGTCTCACTCTGTCACTCAGGCTGGAGTGCAGTGGCATACTCAAAGCCACCTCAGCTTTAACCTGCTGAATTCAGGTGATCTTTCCACCTCAGCCTTTCAAGTAGCTGGAACCACAGGTGTGCACCACCATGCCCAGCTAATTTTTTGATTTATTGTAGAGATGAGATCTTGCCAAATTGCCTAGGCTGGTCTCAAACCCCTGGGCTCAGGCAATCCTCTCGCCTCGGCCTTCCAAAATGCTGGGATTACAGATGTGATTCACCAAGCCTGACTGATAGCTAGGAATTTATTAATCCCATCAGCTCCTCCAGGAATCCACATCTTAGTGATAATCTATGGCTCAGTCAGCAACTTCCCACCTCCACTTCTCAACCCAGAAGTTCCTCAGACCACCAGGAAGATCCTGGGGGTTTGAATTTCAGTTTGTGAGAAGCCTGGGCACTATGAAGACAGGAAACATTTTTAAATAACAGAAATGGGCTAGGCTCAGTGACTCAACCTGTAATCCCAGTACTTTGGGAGGCCGAGGTGAGTGGATTGCCTGAGCCTGTGGGTTTGAGACCAGCCTGGGCAACTTGGTGAGACCTCGTCTCTACGATAAATTTAAAATAGCTGGGTATGGTAGGATGTGCCTGTAGTTCCGGCTACTTGGAAGGCTGAGGTGGAATGATTGCTGCAGCCCAGCAGGCTAATGCTGGCTTGGCCGTGAGCATGCCACTGCACTCCAGCCTGGGCAACGGAGTGAGACTCTGACTCAAAAAAACAGAAAACAAAAACAGAGTGGTTGGGTGCAATGACTCATGCCTGTAATCCCAGCACTTTAGGAGGCTGAAGCAGGAGGACGGCTTGAGGCCAGGAGTTGAGGACCAGCCTGTGCAACACAGCAATGCCTCATCTCTACTAAAAAATTTTAAAAATTAGCTGTGTGTGGTGGTGTGCACCCACAGTCCCAACTACTTAGGAGACTGAGGTGAAGGATCACCTGAGCCCAGCAGGTCAGGGCTCCTGTAGCCATGAGTACACCACTGCACTCCAGCCTGGGCAATAGAGACTCTCACTTAAAAACAAACAAACAAAATAACACAACAAAACAAAAAAAACAGAGATAACACCACATTCCCTTTCTCATTCCTTCCTAGCAGATCCCTAGAGCACAACCAATTCTGTCAAGCCCTTCAGGGTGTCTAAGAAAAGGCTTCTGCTGGGCTTGGTGGCTCAGCCTGTAATCCCGTGCCTTTGGGAGACTGAGGTGAGTGG